GTGCACCCCAATGTTTATAGCAGCAATGTCCACAGTAGCCAAACTATGGAAAGAGCCAAAATGTCCATCAACAGATGAAGGGATAAAGAAGATATACAATGGAATGGATAAAGTATATATACAATGGAATATTATGCAGCCATCAAAAAAAAATCTTGCCATTTGCAATGACGTGGATGGGACTAGAGGGTATTATGCTAAGCGAAAGAAGTCAATCAGAGAAAGACATGTATCATATGATCTCACTGATGTGAGGAATTCTTAGTCTCAGGAAACAAACTGACAGATGGTAGTTACACTTGGGGTGGGCATAGCATAACAACATATAGAGAAGCTGAATCACTATGTTGTATACCTGAAACTAATGTAACATTGTGTGTCAACTATACTCAAATAAAAAACTTAATAATAATAGGAATACATATTTAGCTCTATAAAAACTTTCACTCATTTCCCTTGTGATAGTCCTCATATTATTCTTAACTATAATTATTTTGTTTCATTTTTGGTTCAATGTTTATTGTGTAGCACGTATGTATGTGTTTTTTTAAAAATCTGTAGCTCCTAGGATAAGCTTGTCTTATTTTTCTAAGTGTGTGATATGTTTCAAACATACAAAAAATATAGGAACACTATACTTTGAGTAAATTTTATATCTGTATTACTGATTTGTGGTCAGAGAATGAAATCTAAATAGATACTTTTATTTATGGTTGTCTTTATAGTGACTAGTATAGGATCAAAGCTTTAAGGTGAGTTCTCTATTGTGTAGTATTTACAGCTTGTCATCATAAAACTTTTATAAACATCTAATAAATTGAATTAATAATCACTACCTTTTTGCTTTGAAATGTGAAGAATGATAGCAGAGTGTTACTTTTACCAGTTTTTCTTTATCTGTTTGCAATTTATATTTAATAATATTGCCATTGTTTTGTTTTATAATTTCCAAAGTTAGTTGCCCTTTGCCCATGCTTTGGAAATTTTTGAGGGTTTTCTTGTGATTTCACGGTAAGCTCTTTAATGGAATTTTTTATAGGAAGAAAAATCCGATTTGGAATATAAAGTTCTCCTGCTAGGATCTTCAGACAGTTATAGTTTCATGATTGTTTGTACATGTTTGCCTTTTTGTTTAGATTTTTGAAGAAGAGTCCCAATACGACTGTGCTTTAATACTCAACCTCCAAAAGTCACCTTATACTGGGACATGGAATTTCACTTCCTGTAGTGAACGCCACACTCTGTCTCTCTGTCAGAAATATTCAGGTATAAATTATTATGTAGGTAACTATGGTACTTTATGCTGTTAGATATATACAGTATTTTTCACAAAAAATCTTATAAATGAATTTATATTAATTTGTAAACATAGCTTCCCTAAAATTTCAACATGGCTAAATCCATATTGGTTCAGTGAGTCAGATTATCTCAAATGGAGTGTGATTTTTTTCAATTATCATTGGTTTACTTAATTAAATACCAAAATTAAGTATCAGTTGGAATTTAATAGGAGTTGCCTAATTATAGTAAGTTATGGTTGTTGTTTTTTCTACTCTGACATTTTTCAGTTATTACTTTGTTTCCTGGAGAAAGGAGAAAAAGTGTAATGTTTTTAATTGACTTTGGTAAACATTCACACTTAAGTTTATCACACACACACACATAAAGGTGTGAAGCATTATAAACGGATCACTGTGTATACCTTACTGTAACCCAAATAAAAATAAAATGTGCACTTAAAAATAAGAATCATCCATATTTTCAAAAAGATATTTTTAGAAGGTAGTACACTGTTTTCATTGATTACAATGTTTTTAACAAATGATTAAAAAGAAAAAAACTTTGTCATGTAATGAGAACCTCAAGTAGATAATCCATGTACTTCTAAAGAAATTTTTGTTAAACTATGCTCATTTGTCTCATACTGTTTAGGAACTGCTTTATTCAGAAAAAGTACTGTAAAGCAATAGTTCAGTACAGCCTCTTGTGGGTTGTTTTGTACATTTCTTTCATTGGAGCTCTCCCAGATGAAAACTTTGTAAGGGAACACCTAACACTTTCTCTTGTTGAAGGAGTTTAAACAAAGGAGGTATTTGACACCAACCTGAAATGGTAATCTTATCGAAAGCTACTTTTACTTACAGCTTTTTTTCCTTCCTAAATCAGATCAACAAAGACAGAATTTTGTTCTAATTTTAGAAAACAAATTTTGTGGCTCACACATATTACCTAAGGTACACAGCAAGACATACCTAGTTCTCCTAACCAAAATCTAAAATAAATGAATAGATTAGTAATATCTGAAGTACTCATTGTGGAGAAACTTGAAGATCAACGTCCCATGACTTGCCGAGTGGGTGATTTTTTGTTTTTTTTTTACACACAGAAGTTGAAAGCAAACAGACCTTGCAGAATACTTCAGACACAGTAAAGTATCTAAATAATCTGTACAAAATCATCCTGAAGAATATGACTTGGTTTGATGCTCTAAGGGAGTGTCAGAAAGATAACATGCAGCTGGTGAGCATCACAGACCCTTATCAGCAGGCGTTCCTAACTGTACAAGCGGTTCTTCATAACTCTTCTTTATGGATTGGACTCTCCAGTCAAGACGTAAGTTTTCAGTCCCAACTGCCTGGATTGGGTGATGGAATGTGAAATTTTTGTTGCACACAGCATTTCTCATATCAGACTAAAAGAACCTGGAGATTGTAAAATCTTACTCCAGTGAGTAAATTTCATGAAGTGTGTAATTTTTAGTGGCCATCATCTTTCTACTATTGAAAGATCTGGTGCTTTATCGTTTAGATGAAGAAAAAGTTCTAGTGGACATATGTAGCTGATCACTTCTTTTTATTCTAGTTAAAGACTGAGTGGGACTCAGGAACTGCTATGTCTCCCCAGCCAATGAAAAGAAGAGAGGAAGAAAAGAATTTAAAAACCAAATAGGGTTGAGTCAGGGTGGGGGGTGGGGGGGCAGAGCCCAGAGAGAGAGGGAGAGAGAGAATCCCAGGCAGGCTCCACACCCAGTAGAGCCTAATATAGGGCTCCATCTCACAACCCTAAGATCATGACCTGAGAGGAAATCAAGAGTCAGACGCTCAACTGACTGAGCCACCCAGGTGCCCCTATAGTAAATTTTTTAAAAAGAAAATTTAAATCATTTGTAATCCCAGTACCTAGTAATAAATATGATTTAATAATTTGGTATATATCTCTCAAGGTTTTTTTCTATGTACACGTATATTTTTAAGACCTTTGGGATCATACCATTTTTTAACTTTTTTTTTCACCACTTAAGGATTTTGATCTTGTTTCTTATCCTATTTTCTTTTTTTTTTTAAGATTTTATTTATTTATTTGAGAGAGAGAGTGAGTGAAAGAGAGCAGAGCACAAGCCAGGGGGAGAGGCAGAGGGAGAGGGAGGAGCAAACTCCCTGCTGAGCAAGGAGCCCAATGCAGGACTCGATCCCAGAACCCCGGGAACATGACCTGAGCTGAAGGCAGGCGCTCAACCAACTGAGCCACTCAGGCACCCTCTTATCCTATTTTCAATCTTCACCTATGTTTCTCTTTTTCCTTTCACTCTTTAACAGGTTTATTACATATCTGCATAAACTGCCTTAAATCTTTGGAACATGATATAAATAATCAAAACTTTACATTGAAAGCAATGGAAGGGTGTTGAAAGATTTTAAACATGGTAGTAACAATAACAGATTTTTACTTAAGAAGAATTATATTGGCAGAGGATGGGTGAGGAAGTGAGGGATCTAGAGCTTTCTTGTAGAAATGCGTGCAGGAGCTGATGTTGGCCTGAACTAAGGCCTGTGGCAGTTCTGGGTTATATAAAATCCAGAGTGTGGCTGTGGCAGCTGGTCTCTTAAGTAGGTAGAACTGGAAGTACATAGAAATAGAGGAAGTCAAGAAGGCTGGGGAACTGGTGAGTCATCCACATGAACATGAATGTCCATAAGTCAAAGGTAGGACCAGGAGGACGAGCAAGACATGGGGCATCACCTTAGTAAATGTCAGGGAGGAACACGGAGGCCAAGTCTTAAGTGAATGTCAGAAAGAGGCAAGGAATCTGGGAGTTGGCATAAACTTTAAAGGAACGACTAAAGGAGATAAAAATACCTATTATTCCATTCTCATAGCCCTGTGGTATCTGAGAATGGAAAAATAAACAGCCTTCCCTTGTGGGTGTTGAAAGGACATTATTCCCTTAGAAAAGATATCTTTAAATTAAGATCAATTAAGGTCAAGAATTTAGTAAAGAGATACTTACAGTCTTAATAAAGAGAGAGGGTATTCAGCAAAGAGGGTGCAGGGATTTATCTACAAGGAATAGAAGTTCCAAAGGCCCAGGTACCTGGGTTAGTTGTGAGTGCAGCAAAGGTGAAGGAATCCAGGGTAATACCAAGTACAAGCAACATCACTTGGCCAAAGGTCCTCATTGGAGGCCCAGGGGCTTAGGGATTAACTGGCCACAAAGTTACAGCTGGAACCCTAGTGGAGAACAGTTTCAGAATGCAACCGTGGTGTTGAAACTTAAACATGTTTGCTATTTATAGTTCACTAAGGATACTGTGTGTGGCTTTTACCCAATATTCCAAATAAACCAGTGATGTAAAATTGCCTTGGGCCTCAGGACAGCTTAGTTCATTGGGTCAGTATATAAGGCCTGGTGCTTTGGGAGTGCCATGGGGAAGGGCAAACAGGTCTGTACCCCACAATCTATCCCCTGGACTCTGTACCTCTCTCAAGATAGGTGGGTGGTCAGGCCCTTGTCAGGATGTAAAGACGGACGGATGTTCACAGACTTTTAGTGCACAATAGAATAGAGTGAATGAGGAAGCTTCATCATAAAGACCAGTGTAAAATCAGCAGTGTGAGATGCACAAGGCCTGAGTGAGGGTTGAGAGGAAGGGAGCTAACATTTATGTAGCTCTTCCTGTGTACCAGCTGGCCATTATGTTACACGTTACCCCACTAATTCCAGCCCTGAGGTTAAGTGTCACATCCATTTAATAGCTGAGGGGATGGAAACTTGGCAAGGTAAACTCAAATCAAAAACTAATACATGACTGAACCAGAACTCCAAACTAGATATGCTTAGTGCCAGAGCCCATGTTCTTTCCACTACTTCATGTTGTTTCTCTGACTTCCAGCAACCCACAGTTCCAATTATGTGTGAGGCAGCCCAGTGTAATGGCTCAGACCATAGACTCTAGCGTCTGATGGCCTGGAGTAGAATCCCAGCACTGCAGTATATATTCTATGGGACTTGGCACACATTACATGCCTTCAGTTTCTCATCTGTGAAGTGGATACAATAGTTCCTGTCTAATATGGTTGTTATGAAGATTAAGTAAGTTAATATCTGCAAAGCACTTACAGCCCTGCCTGGCGCATGGTAAGTGCTATGTAACTGTGTGTTAAATATAAGGTAAAATTAAAAGTCATTAGATTGACTACAAGGGACAAAATAATACAAAAGGGATAACACGATGTATTGCCACTTGACATGTATTTCTGCTGCTTACAGGATGAACTCAACTTTGGTTGGTCAGATGGGAAGCGTGTTCAATTTAGTCGCTGGGCTGAAAATAATGGGCAACTTGAAGACTGTGTAATATTAGACACTGATGGATTCTGGAAAACATCTGATTGTGATCATATGCAACCAGGTGTTATTTGCTACTATCCAGGAAGTATGCTAATTTTAAATATTTTAATTCTTAAATTATTATCAGTCTCATGAATAGTGAGATTTATGGGGAGTAGTTTTGTAAAATTTTTGTAATTTTTTGGTTTTGAAATTATAATCATGTCCTTTTTTACAACAAAATTTGTTGTGAAAATTTGTATTCAGGTAGAATTACTATATATTAGGTACTTTGTCATTGATTTGTTATTTTAGACATGTTGTATCTTTATTTTTGTCAGCTGACAGTGGTACTTGACCTTTCAGTTTTAAGTTCCTATTAGCCTCATTTTGTATATATTTTGTGTTTATATTCTATAGGAAACTCTATTTGTGGGAATTTTTTTGGTAATTCTTATCAACAACTACTGTTTCTTTTTAAGAGCCACCTTTAAGATTCATTTGTTTGTAAGTAACAGTAACCAGCTCAAGCTAGCTTAAGCCAAAAGGGAAATTTAGATCCTCAAAAATGGGGATATAGCTGAGCTTCATGAGAATGGGAATAAGAAACTGAATGGAATCAGGAACCCAGAGATACTATCTCCCACCTATCCCTTCTGTTTCTCTCTATGGATTTGCATTCTTCTTTTTATATACTTTCTGCTTCTCTCTGCACATGGTGAAACATGGCAGCTCTGTAGTTTTCAATAATAGCTGTAACTGGAGATGAATTGACTATCCCTGAATTCCAAATTCTTAGAGAGAATCTGATGTACCCTACTGAGTAAGGTATGCGATCTCTAGCCTAGTCAGAGGAAAGTGGTTTTACAACTGCCAGGGGCCCACGTTTTTGCATTTGCAGTAGAAAGAAGATACAGCTACTTTCCAGACAAAGGGAGTTGTGAGCTGGGAGAGATTCTGAATGGTCTCTACTGCATATTAAATCTGCTTGATTGGCTTTGAGTAGAGCATATCTATATTTGGATCTTCTTAAATGTATGGCTTTTTCATAAAATTTTTTAAAAAGCCAGATTTTCTAGATGTCAGATTTTCAACTATTTCTGTTTGCTTTCATTAAAGCAACAACTTAGAACATTACGTATTTCATTAAAATGTACCTTTAAAAAATAAATAAAAAATAAGATGTACCTGTAAAATTAGAGAAGATATCAGTAACCAGAAACTTAAAGATGAGTTCCCAAAGTTATAGTTAGGTGCCCATTATTAATATCTTTGTATCGTCTCTGAGGTCACCCCTGTATTTCAGGTTTGGTGATATAGGAAGACAGAAACTACATTTAACCTAATAGCGTCTCATGTTTTATATTCTCCCATTCACTCCACAGCAGGGGAAAGAAATTGTGTTAAATAAATTCCTTCCTACAGAAACCCAGTTAAGAGGTCACATTATATTGTGAGTATAAACAGAACAAGCATCATTAAGCTATTATTAATTGGCTTCCTGAATATTCCCTACAAATCAAGCCTAATTACCATGAACAGGATTTAACATTTATGTCTAAAGTTAGAATTCATACCGTTGTCTTTTTTTTAGACGATACTGAAAAAGAGGTCAAAGCACTTGACAATGTTCAGTGTCCATCTCCTGTTCTATTTACTCCATGGATACCATTTCAGAACTCTTGCTACAATTTTATAATAGCAAAGACTGAATATATGGCAACACCACCAGATGAAGTTCATTCTAAATGCCAGAAAATGAGTAAGTATCTTATGTGGCCATTATGTATATGTTCATTAAAAAACAAATCTCACCTGAGGTGTGTTATAAATATTTCTAATTAGCACTAGATCTCAAAAATATTCATCTCCTAATTTCTACATTGTCAACAAAAAAAGGATTAAAATTTTGTTTAGTTAAAATGGAGAATATAAGAGTTAATTCTTTACCCATCCATTAGAGAGCTAGTCTGTCTTTACATGTATAAACAAAATGAGTTCTACTTACAAAGGAAAAGAAATAACTCTAGCAAGCAGAGAACTGGATGTTAAACCAAGTTAGACTGTGGGCAAAGTGAAAATAGGTGAATTTGGGTGGTCAAAAGCTCAGATAAGTGGTCAAAAGCCAGATAAGTAGTCAAAAGCAAAGAAGCAGCTCTGCTTAAAAGAAATGCATATTTCACACTTTCAGCTCTTAGGACTCTTCAGATATTCCCTATGAGATCCACGGAGGATTTGTGACTTCTGAACAATGGACCTGTGAACCGTGGGAAGTTCCTATGGAAAATATCAAACCATTATTCCCAAAAGTGTGCTGTTTAGAAACTAGTCTTGAGAGATAGTCTACAAAAAGGGTCCTTAGAAAAAGAACAAGGTTGAGAAATACTATACACCACGGCTTCCTATTAGACGTTATCAAGTGTACGTCAGCATATACTTTAAAAATTACTGCCATAAATGAACTAGTTTAACTTTGTTTAACCAATGTTGGACGCTTTTATCCATCTAGTCTTCTTCTGAGAAACTCCTGCTAATTTCCTGAGGAACACCTTTGGGAAATATTAAACTTTTTTAACCCTAATATAGTGATCTCTAAGGAAAAGGAAGATCTATCATATTGACCATCCAAGAAGTTTTGTTTATTATAGTCTTTGGCAGTGTATCATTAATATGGCTAAATTTGTACCAATTCAAATAAGCTTTAAATGGGGAAAAGTGAAGTGAATCAATGTTTTAAATTCTCCACTCAGCTGCTAGTTTTACACTATTGTTTAAGACCAAATTTAACATCAAGATGTTTGGGGTACCTGGGTGGCTCAGTTGCTTAAGCATCTGACTCCTGATTTGGGCTCAGGTCATGGTTTCAGGGTCGTGAGATCTGTGAAGGGCTAAGCGTGGAGCCTGCTTAAGATTCTCTCTCTTCCTCTCTCCCTCCCCTCCCATGTGCTATCTCTCTCAAAATAAATAAAATAAAATAACATCAAAATGTTTGAAAACTTCTTTATCTATTCATTTTAGTACAATGAGATAGTTTTTTAAAAAAGATTTATTTATTCATTTGAGAGAAAGAGAGAGAGCTTAAGCAGGGGGAAGGGGCAGAGGGAGAGAATCTCAAGCAGACTCCCTACTGAGCACAGAGTCCTATGTGGAGCTGGATCTCATGACCCTGAGATCATGACCTGAGCTGAACCAGGAGTTGGGTGCTCAACTGACTGACCCACCCAGGAGCCCCAGGACAATGAGGTAGTTTTAATTTACATGTCTGTCTTATTTTCCAGTATTGTTTTAGAGTTTATTAAGCTGGGAAATAAAATTTTCTAAATCTATCAAAATAAAGTGTTCTAGATAAGTAATTATTAAAATTATTGACTATTTTTTATTTAACAGATCCAAAATCACATGTTCTGAGTATTCGAGATGAAAAAGAGAATAACTTCGTTCTGGAGCAACTTCTGCACTTCAGTAATATGGCTTCATGGGTCATGTTAGGTATAACTTATGAAAGTAAGTTGTAAATCTACTGATTTTCTCTATTTGTATTCATACCTCATTATGAACTACTTGTTTACCAACCTACAAAAATATAGTTCTTCAAAGTGTATGTTTACCAATATACAAAATTATAATTATGCACTTAGCAGAACTTATATAAATACCAGACAATTTTTGTATCTCAAATCTGCCATTAAAATGCCTTTACCACCAAGGTTAGAGTTATCTGGTGGAAAATAATTTCCTTTCTCCACTATCTCTCCTACCAATTCAAGACTAACAAAAAATGACTACACTGCCATAGAAATCTTCAATATTTTCCTTATATCTCTACTATGTATATGGGATGAGTGAGAATGGAATTGTACTTCTATTAATGTTGCACCTTTGGGTTTACAGCATTGGCTTGGAGAATGCATTAGAAAAATGAGAAACAGTCTGACAATGAGATAGAATATTCGAAATTGGGACTAAATGCCACAAGTCCAGGGTTTAATTGCTATGAAATTTTTTAAAGATTCATTCATTTATTTTAGAGGGAGAGGAGAGAGAGAGAGCACATGCATGCACACACGGTGGCAGGGGAGGGGCAGAGGGAGAGGAAGAGAATCTCCAGCAGACTCCCTGCTGAGCAGGAGCCCCATACAGAGCACAACCCCACAACCCTGAGAGCATGACTTGAGCTGAAATCAAGAGTTGGCCACCCAACCAACTGAGCTACCCAGGCATTCTGCTATGAAATTTTTTAAAACACAGATTCTAATAATGACAGAAATAAGACCAATTTAGAAAAATACTCAGAGATGTCCTGAAAATCATGGAAGTTTTAGAATTAGGAAAAAAGTAACTCTGAGACATCACACATCAAAAGCATACATCTAGCCAAAAAGGGCGGTGGGCCTTACTAAAGGGCACAGGATAATGACAGCCAAAGGCAGAAGCTAAATTACTCAAATATGAACATTTTATTTTATTTTATTTTTAAGATTTTATTTATTTATTTGAGAGAGAGAATGAGACAGAGAGAGAGAGCATGAGAGGGGGGAGTATCAGAGGGAGAAGCAGACTCTCTGCTGAGCAGGGAGTCCGATGCGGGACTCAATCCCGGGACTCCAGGGTCATGACCTGAGCCGAAGGCAGTCGCTTAACCAGCTGAGCCACCCAGGCGCCCAAATATGACCATTTTAAAAATAGCCTTCTTGGGGTGTCTGGGTGGCTTGGTCGGTTAAGCATCTGCCTTCAACTCAGGTCATGATCCCAGAGTCATGGGATTGAGACCCACATCACATCTGGCTCTCTGCTCAGTGGGGAGTCTCCTTCTCCCTCTGCCCTTCCCCCTGCTTGTGCTCTCTCTCTCAAATAAATAAATAAAATCTTTAAAAA